TCTTCATTCTTATTATGACATAACTGCTAGATTTTCATCAACCAGCTTAGAGGAATTTAGGTATATCCTACCTGTGTTTGTACCTTAAGCAGTTACTTCCAGCTCTTATTTCTTGTAATTTCTATGTATTTCTTTTTCAAGTGAATCCTTCAATATTTTCTATAGATATTTCATTAAGGAGGAATAGACATTGAGGTCACGAGTGTGTGAAAAATGAACTTATGCCAAGTTATGCTCATGTGTTCTGAATAATGAAATAGAGGTTTGTTTGTTTTTTTTTTCCCCTTTGTTACAATAGAGAAGAAGGCTGCATGGTTTTAGGTCAGGTCTTTTGTATATGAAGTTTTTAGATGGGACAGAGATACACACTAGCCAACCTATTGATGAAGCAGATTAGAATTTCAAAGGTTTAGTTGTTTGTTGTTTTTTTTTTTACGAGTGTGAAGAGTTAACTTTCTACAATCCCTATTCTTACTGTCAGTCTTTTCAAAGACAAATATTTATTAAATACTCATTATTTACTTAGCATTGTATTTACTTTTGTGAGGAACTTGACTCCTCTGTCCATGGAATACTAGAGGCAAGAATACTGCAGTGGGTAGCCATTCCCTTCTCCGGGGCATCTTCCCAACCCAGGGATTGAACCCAGGCCTCTTGTATTGCAGGCAGGTTCTTTACCATCTGAGCCACCAAGGAAACCTTAAAAATATTTATTGTTGTTTTTGTTCAGTCGCTAAGCTGTGTCAACTCTTCAACCCTGTGAATGGCAGCATGCCAGGCTTTCCTGTCCTTCACTGTCTTCCTGAGTTTGCATAAACTCTTGTCCATTGAGTTGGTGATGCCATTCAACCATCTCATCCTGTGTTACCCCTGTCTTCTGCCCTCAATCTTTCCCAGCATCAGGGTCTACCAATGAGTCACGCTTTGTATCAGATGGCCAAAATATTGAATCTGAAGCTTCAGCATCAGTCCTTCCAATGAATATTAGGGTTGATTTCCTTTAGGCTTGACTGGTTTGATCTCTTTGCAGTCCAAGGGACTCTCAAGAGTCTTCTCCAATACCCCAGTTCAAAAGCATCCATTCTTCCGTGTTCAGCTTTCTTTATGGTCCAACTCTCACATCTGTACATGTCTACTGGAAAAATCATAGCTTTGACTATTCGACGTCAGCAAAGTGATGTCTCTGCTTTTTAACACACTGTGTAGGGCAGACACTGAGAATCAGTTGCCAAGCCTGGCATGCCTCCTGAAGACGTGTTTGGAGGAGTCTCCTCTGGTCACTGTGGAATTGTGGGCAAATTGGCTAGGCACTCCTGATCTTACTCCTCTTCAGTCAGACAGGTTCCTGAAGACCACTGCCAGCTCCCGGACAGAGCTTTTGTTAGAAAATTTATGTTCCCAACAAGTTCCTGGGATTCTATAAAATCTCATGGATTTGAATGCAAGAAAAGGGAAAATGTTTATTATCTCTAGACTAACCTTCCTGCTGGGTTTTCAAACGGATCTGAAATCTCCATTTACATGCTACAACAGTAAAAAGCTTCTCAAAGGTTATTTGAAATCTGAGCTGATTGCAAAAGGATTGATTACCAGCAAATGTGGCAAAATGACCAAGAGGGATTCAGGACAACATCTAACACACTGTGATGCTCAGTAAAAGGTCATTGACTAGAGATGAGTTTAAGCATTTCTTAGCAGATCATGAGCATTCATGTGCTTTACTGCTTTCCTGACTTCCTCTGTGCCCCAAATCTTTCCTCATTTCGTGCCCAAACTTGTTACCAAATGTTGGCAGAGGAAAGCTGGAGTCCTGCTGTGTTTATTTTGCTTTTATTTGTTCTGGATTTACAGTTAAAACCTTCCAGTAGATGAACTGTATCAAGGGCTTTTCATTTCATATTGTGAAGTGTGTTGTTATGCACAGTTCATTCTATTAAAAAACGAAACATGTAGACCTAAATTAAAATGCAGACTGTGGATCCCTCAGAGGGGGCTTCTGAAACATCGGGCATGAAATGTTGCATAGATTTCTTGTTAACCAGAAAATGATTTTAGCAAGCAACCCTTCCTGCGGCCTCAGGAAGGAGCTGGGATGTTGTGAGCCTCTGAAGCTGCAAGGTGGGTGCTGGATATTATGCACATTTATCTCGGTTGCCAGGAGCTCTACATTGCCATCTGTCTCAAGCCTCGTCAGAGCTACCTGTGGTTTAAAGGCTGGAAAAGTCTGGACAACAAAGGGGCTTAGGGAAACAATGTGGCAATAAAATATTTGCAATTTTTTGGTGAACTCTCCTCTTGACACTGTATGAGGTATTCAGCTCTTTCTCAGATTTCATGCTGTGAGGATACCTTCATGATGATTATTTTAAAAGACAGCATCAGCTTCCTATGGTGAACACAGTCATAATATGGTGTCTAGGAATACAGTTATCAGCCCTTATATTTAAGTTATTTGGTAGTGCTCTCAATGGAAAGAGGTCTGGGGAAAGAGGTCTCCGTTAGAGGAGCTGAAATTATTCACTAACATTGGGCTCCTCTATAGCCAAAGGTAATAACAGCACTAAAACCATCATCAGTAGAGTTCAGAAAAATCCTCCTTCAGGCTACATTTCCTGTAATTGTCTCAATGCGGTGGCATTAATACTGACACCTGCCCCTTCTGTCTTCTGCAACTGCATTCTAAAATCACAGCTTTGGGAATCAGATTGAAAATTGTGGTTACTCAGTGAACTGTGGACCACTAAGGCCTTAACTAGGTATGTGAAGGGGAAATGGAAATTGCCCATGTAAATGAAAATGTCACAGTAAGTATGTTGTGTTTTTATTTCAGCCTTAAAAACCAAAGCCTGAGTCATGCAATATAATCTGAAAAAATGAAGCAAAGACTTGTAATGGTAATTGGCTAGCAGCTCTAAAAGATCAAGTATGGGCTAGCTACGTTGTTACTTGCTCTGTGACCTTTGTCAGGGTCCTCTGTGAGTCCTGTTTCCAGATTTCTACAATGAGGAGCGGTGAGGATCCCATGACACACACTCACCAAGCCCAGGGCTTGGCACATTGGGAGGTTCAATACTTCTACCTTTTTATTTTCATCCCTTTTCCTGTCCCTCTTTCATAATGTTTTCTGTGAGACAAGGTTAAATAGTAGAAGTAGCAAGGTGACATCAGAAGTCATGCTTTCATGTTTATATAAAAACAAAAATCATAGTATTGAAGAGATTTTCCTTGATGACACCAAGTAAATAAATTATCCAATTATGGACAGTAACCAGAATAAAAACAATTTTACTTTTTGCATGATCACATGATTTCAAGATGTTCTATTCTGACCCTTAGCACCTTGCCTGTCCTTCTGCATTTCCTCCATAACATTCCTTGTATCCTTTGTCAATAAATGCTTATTGAACATCCAGTTGATTAGAAGTAGAGGTAACTTTAGGCCTTTGAAAGGCCTGGGCACTAGGAAATGGGGATACTAAGTCTCGGGGCTCCCTCTGACTTGCTGTGTTTCCTTGAGCAGCTTCAATGAGATAATTAATATAAAAGCCACTGTCAAAGTCCTTTTTGCACTCTCTCCTTCTAGACGGAGACATTAGGAGCCTATGTCCTTAAAAGGCTTCCGGTGTTCAGCTTGGTGATAGAAAGAGGGTAGTATTTCATGAGTTCTTGAAGGGCAGGTGTGTGGGTTAGAAGTCCCAAGCCCATGTGGTTGGCTAGGTAAATGACGGAGGGTAGGAGCCCAAGAAGAGCAGAAATGGGGGAGACTCATGAGTTGCAGGGCATAGTACTTGTAACCTTTGCTCTAAATTCTTCTGAACTTGTTTAAATGCTAACCTATAAAAATGGCATCTATTGCTGTACTGGCTTCAGGTTGCTGGTTGACAGATTCCAGTAGGAATGGCAGGTTGGAAACTCAGGTGAGCTTGAGACAGGTGCTGACCTGCCTCTTCTGGGTATTGTTCTTTTGGGGAAGGATGGGCCCCAGTCTGAGTTGGTTTTTTTCTTTCCTGTTTCTAAAGGTTTCAGCCTCATTAGAGTCTCTTATCCTGGGAAATCAGCAGAATCTTAACTGCTGAAATTTCTCCGAGTCAGCATGAAATGCTGATGAGCTCCCAGTCACACCTTTGGTTTGTTTTGCAATTCAGAATTGGGTTTCCCTGCTGTGGCTGATGCAGTTGGCTTTGGTTATAGTGTAATAAATTCAAATAAACATTTATGAGGGTAAGTAATCATATTTTATGCAAACAAATTATTCTTCCTTAAAAGTCACTTTTTAAAAATGCATGCTATTTCTTTTCTCAGTCAGCATATGAAGCTAATAAAAGTTATTGTATCATCAAAATTCCTTTCACGACTGTTTATTGTCCCATTTATGTTAAATTTAGAAGACTGGTCTCCATTTTGTTTCTCCCCTCCTTGCCTATTATAGTTTTATACTCTTACCACTTGTATAAGAAATCATGATTAGTTCATGTATCCCATAATTATGGCAAAAAACTAGAGATAGCTCTTTCTGAGAGAGGACAATGTCCATTAAAAATGTACATAGTTTCCAAATTCAAGGACCATGATTTACTAGCTTATTAAAATTGAAATTCAGTTTGAGTGCCCAAGAATCTATGCTTTTGAATTGTGGTGAGGGAGAAGACTCTTGCAAGCCCCTTGGACAGCAAGGAGATCAAACCGGTCAATCTTAGAGGAAATAAACCCTGAATATTTATTAGAAGGGTTGATGCTAAAGCTGAAGATTCAGTATTTTGGTCACCTAATGCCAAGAGCTGACTCATTGGAAAAGACCCTGATGATGGTAAAGATTGAGGCCAGGAGGAGAAGGGGGAGATAGAGGTTAAGATGGTTGGATGTCATCACTGAATCAATGGGCATGAGTTTGAGCAAACTCCAGAAGACGGTGAAAGACAGGAAAGCCTGGTGTGCTGCAGTCCACGGGGTCACACAGAGTTGGGCACAACTTAGTGACTGAACAACAAATTAATGCTAATTCTTTTGTGATGCCAAGTGTCTTCTTGGTCAAATGGTCTAATACTTTCATGGCCTATTTTAGGTATCCAGTTTGCTTCCCTATGGAGGAATGCCTGGTTGCTGCTGAGGGATTTATGCAGGATGTTATGGAGAACATTCTTCAGTCCCCTCCTATGAAGGAAGAGCACAGTGAAGTTCAGGTTTGTCACCTTGATACACTCATTTGAACATGTGCATTTTAATCCTGGAAGGTGCATCTATGGAAGAGAGTGAGAGATGCTTTTGTTTCTAAGGGAATCTGGAAGGGAGGTTAGGAAAATGAAATAATGAAAATGAGGTATTGGGGGAAAATCTTTGCAGGGTGCAACTCTTCTGAAGTATTCTGCTGGGAGAGACCTGCAGGGGAACAAAATTTGTCACCCCAAAATGTCTCTTTGGCATGCCAGTTATTTGTAGCTGAAAGCTATCAAGGCTCAAAGACTCGGGAAGAACCTTTGATCTTCCTCCTGGCTATCTAAAGAATGTAGACAGAGGACCTATTCCAGGAAGGGAGTCATCATTACACCATGAACTAGGTGTGTAGACAGAAAGAACCCAGCAAAGTCTGTTAGAATTCCTCTGTGTCCTGGACATGACTAAGTGACTGAGCACACACTGTGTCCCATTGTCTCTGCAGGGCCCAGCAAACATTTATTTAGCAAACACTTGCTTTTTCATCTCTATGTCAATTGCCTTCCTTCCCTTCAACTCCCAAACCACCCCCCCCCCCCAATGTCCTCTTTACTCTTTAGCTGAAGATGGTAGTTAAGAGGAGGTTTTCGGCCATTTTTGTAAATTACTCAGTTTTCCTATGACTCTCCCATGTATTCAGTTCAGTTTGGTTCAGTCACTCAGTCATGTCCAACTCTTTGTGATCCCATAGACTGCAGCACTCCAAGCTTCCCTGTCTATCACCAGCTCATGGAGCTTGCTCAAACTCATGTCCATCGCGTCGGTGGTGCCATTCAACTATCTCATCCTCTGTCGTCCACTTCTCCTGCCTTCAATCTTTCCCAGCATCAGGGTCTTTTCCAAGGAGGAGTCAGTTCTTCACATCAGGTGGCAAAAGTATTGGAGTTTCAGCTTCAGCATAAGTCCTTCCAAAGAATATTCAGGATTGATTTCTTTTAGGATTGACTGGTTTGATCTTCTTGCAGTCCAAGGGACTCCCAAGAGTCTTCTCCAAAACCACAGTTCAAAAGCATCAATTCTTCAGTGCTCAGCTTTCTTTATAGTCCAACTCTCATACCCATATATGACTACTGGAAAAACCATAGCTTTGACTAGACAGACCTTTGTCAGGAAAGTAATGTCTCTGCTTTTTAATATGCTGACTATGTTTCTCATAGCTTTTCTTCCAAGGAGCAAGCGTCTTTTAATTTCATGGCTGCAGTCACCATCTGCAGTGATTTTGGAGGCCAAAAACATAAAGTCTGTCATTGTTTCCATTGTTTCCCCATCTACTGTTATGAAGTGATGGGGCCAGATGCCATGATCTTTGTTTTTTAAATGTTGAATTTTAAGCCAGCTTTTTCACTCTCCTCTTTCACTTTCATCAAGAGGCTCTTTAGTCTTTGCTTTCTGCCATAAGGGTGGTGTCATATGCATTATCTGAGGTTATTGATATTTCTCCCAGCAATATTGATTCAGGCTTGTGCTTCATCCTGCCCATCACTTTGAGTGATGTATTCTCCATCTAAGTTAAATAAGCAGGGTGACAATATACAGCCTTGACATACTCCTTTCCCAATTTGGAACCTGCTGTTCCATGTCTGGTTCTAACTATTGCTTCTTGACCTGCATACAGATTTCTCAGGAGACAGGTAAGGTGGTCTGGTATTCCCATCTCTTTCAGAATTTTCCACAGTTTCTTGTGATCTACATAGTCAAAGGCTTTGGCATAATCAATAAAGTAGAAGTAGATGTTTTTATGGAATTCTCTTGCTCTTTTGATGATCCAACAGATGTTGGAAGTTTGATCTCTGGTTCCTCTGCCTTTTCTAAATCCAGCTTGAACATCTGAAAGTTCACAGTTCACGTACTGTTGAAGCCTGGCTTGGAGAATTTTGAGCATTACTTTGCTAGCGTATGAGATGAGTGCAATTGTGCAGTAGTTTGAGCATTCTTTGGCATTGCCTTTCTTTGGGACTGGAATAAAAACTGACCTTTTCCAGTCCTGAGGTCACTGCTGAGTTTTCCAAATTTGCTGGCATACTGAGTGCAGCGCTTTCACAGCATTATCTTTTAGGATTTGAAATAGCTCAACTGGAATTACATCACCTCCACTAGCTTTCTTCAGAGTGATGCTTTCTAAGGCCCACTTGACTTTGGACTCCAGAATGTCTGGTTCTACGTGAGTGATCACACCATTATGGTTATCTGTGTCATGAAGATCTTTTTTGTATAGTTCCTCTGTGTATTCTTGCCATCTGTTCTTAATATCTTCTGCTTCTGTTAGGTTCATACCATTTCTGTCCTTTATTGTGTCCATCTTTGCATGAAATGTTCCCTTGGTATCACTAATTTTCTTGAAGAGATCTCTAGTCTTTCCCATTCTATTGTTTTCCTCTATTTCTTTGCATTGATCACTGTATACATGTTATTAAACTCTTGTTTGATTTTCTCTTCTTAATCTGTCTCATATCAGTTTAATTCCTGGGTCAGCCAGAAGAACCTAGAAGAAAGAACCTAGAAGAAAGGAGGAAAATTTCTTGCTCCATTACAGACCCTAAGCAGATAATCATAACTTATAAGCGTCCTCAGTGAGTGGCCCACTCTGTGCTACCTACTATGTTCTCTAAGGAGCATGCAGTCTGCTGGGGGAAACATCCAAAGCCATCTGAAACCACAGGCTAAACCAGACTCCCAGATATTGCAGTGGTGTAGAAGGCTCCTGCTGAGAATGCAGCTCTCTGAGAATAAACCCTCTGAAACCCACTTGAGTTCAGCTTGCAACTCACATGAATGAGTATACAGTATGGTTACTTCTTAGCAGTAGAACATAACTCTCTTGAGTCATTGCTTCTCTATATTATAGGTTCCACTAATAAGATGATGGCATCTTACTAGACAAAACCTTGTATACCCAGAATAAGCATCTGTGTATTATCCCCCAAAAGCCTGAGATAGAAGAGACCATGTCAGAGCACAAAACATGTATAGGCTTGTGCCAGGTAATAAGGGTCTCAATCGTTTTGGCCACTTACTGGCTCTGTGACCTTGGGCAGATCACTTAATTGTTCTGCACTTTGGTTTCCTCATCTGCAAAATAGGGTTAATAGAACCCACTTCCTGGGGCTGTTGTATTAAATAAGAGAACATATGTAAAATATCCATCATGGTACTTGGAATAAAATAGGTTCTCAAAAATTGTACCTTTATTACTTTTATTGTGGTGATTTCCCATAATAGTAACTCTAACATAAAACAGTTAAACTGATTTGCATGTACTACTTAGATATGCAGTTCACTCTGGTTATTTAAATCCATTTTTATTCCATATTCAGTTTGAGGTATAGTTCCTGTCATGAATATTACTTTCAGTCTTTATACCAGAAACACTCAGAAAATTATTGCTAGCAATGTATAATAATTATAGTATTTTTGAATTCATGTTTTAAAAAATAACCAGTCATAGTTATAAATATCTAAGTGTAATATTTCCCTTTCTACTGAAGGGAAAATATTTTTTATTTATTGCAGTTCTACCTCTGAAAATAAACACCACAGTGTAAACATACCAGCAAGGCTGTCTTGAGTTTAAAAATCAGTTAAAATAAATTTAATTTCAGGGACAGGTAATGAATGAACACCTCAAACCTTTCTTTGAGAATAGATAAATTCTAAGGGTAAAGGTGCTGAAAAGTGGCTACTCAAAATGAAATGTTGTCTCAAATTCTGGCTGAAACCAGTGTGTTATCACCACCATTATTGTTAAGTTTGCTGGGCTTTTGCTGTTGTTGTTAAGTCACTAAGTCATGTCCACATGGATTATAGCCTGCTACGTGTCTCTGTCCATTGGCTTTCCCAGGCAAGAATACTGGAGTGAGTTGCCATTTCCTTCTCCAGGGGATCTTCCTGATCTAGGGATTGAACCCACATTTCTTTCATTGGCAGGCAGATTCATTACCATCGAGCAATGGGGGAGGCTCTTGCTAGGCTTAATAATGTATCATAATTTGTCTTTGCCTTTCATAGAAATGAGGTCTCACCTTGCAAAAATATCAGGGGTCTTCACATTCACAAGTGGACTTTCTGGCTCAGAGAAGAACTGCTGATAGTTGAAAGGTGCATTGATGTTTGTAAGTAACTCCAGCCAGGGACTTGCCTGGTGTTCCAGTGGTTAAGAATTTGCCTTGGATTGCACAGGATGCAGGTTCAATCCCCGGTCAGGAAACTAAGATCCCACATGCTACAGAGCAACTAAACCCTTGTGCCCCAAATACTGAGCCTGTTCGCTCTGGAGACCATGTGTCACAACTAGAGAGTCTGTGTTCCTCTCTGAAAGATCTCTCATGATGCCCTGAAGATCTCGAGTGCTGCAACTAAGACCCGATGCAGTAAAGTAAGTAAATAAATATTAAAAAAAGAAAGCACATCCATTTCCCACAGGACCCACAGTTTCTGATTCTGGAGACAGAGTAATTATCACTACACCTGTGGGGCTTCTACCCCTCTATCCCCAGCTGGTCTCTGTTCGGGGACATTCCTCCCTCTTTTCTTTCCATCAACCACCTTTTCTCCTCTATGTTGATACTGACTCCCTTGAGCTGTCCTATTTGTTGCTACGGTCCCATTATTCTTGATTTTGCTTAATTGCACTCTCCCACCTTCTATGTTGTATACTTCTTGGGTCGCTGGATTCTTCACTTCTGTCCCTGAAGACCACTGCAGTCACATTCTGAGTCACCTCTGATCTGGCCCTCAACTTACTCCACCTTTGGCCAAGCTTCAACTCCCTCCACCTGCAAGGAAGTCCTTCACATGAACTGGTCACCATGTGAATTGATGGTCTGTTTTGAGCCTTGCTACAATCAGGTGAGTCCATGTTGCTTATATAACCTAGAGCTAAGAGGAGTTCATTTACTCTTTTTTCTCCCTTGAATTAATCCTCTGGCTTTAGAACCCACTTCACGGGCCAGATGATGCCTCAGGTGGGCTTTTCTCTCTATATATGGTGGAAAAAAATTTTTTGTCAGTTTAAATACTGTTGCTTTAGGAGATTGTGTTCGAATTACAATCTGCGATCTGTTAGTGGGTCATGAAATCAACATGACAGGTTGCAGCCAAGTAGAAATTTTTCATTAAACAATAAAGTAGAATAAAAAAAATCAGAGAGCATCTTAATGAGGATGTAGTGTCTTTACATCTTTTTCTCTCTTCCTGTCGTCTATCATGTTTGTCTGTGTATATATATGCTGGGTTGCCATATAAATGTATTTCTCACTGAGGTTCCTGACCAAGAAACTTTGGACTAGAATAATTCAAATTCTAGTAGAATTAGAGCAGAATTTCACCAGGAAGAATATTTTCTTTTGTTTTGAAAATTAAGTACCTCCTTGGGATTATGGCTTCATAAAAATTGTGATCCCTGTGTGTAACCTTTTCCCCAGCTCCATCCCAACCACAACATGACCTGCTCAGAAGAAGGCATTCAAGAGAGAAAATGACATGTATAATAAAGTTACTACTTCCACTGATTAATTTTGCTTAATTGCATTCTCCCACCTTCTATGTTGTATACTTCTTGGGTTGCTGGAGTCTTCCCTTCTGTCCCTGGAGACCACTGCAGTCACATTCTGAGTCACCTCTGATCTGGCCCTCTTTCCATGGTTAAGAAAGCCCAGGGTTTGGGGTCCCTGCAAATAAATAAGAGAGGCACATGGGAGACATTTGCTGGAGGCTGAGGTTTAGGGGTACAGAGGACAGGACAGATGGATGGAAGGACAGATAAACATATAAACAAAGCTGGTATCATGGAGGTAAGAGAGTGAGGAGATCCCATATACAAAATTTTAAGGAGTGATGAGGTTGGAGAGGGTGGCACTGGGGAGGAGGTGAGACAGAGTACCTGAAAAACTTTAGCACATGGATGTACATTAGTCAGCTTTAAGTTACATGTTCTATGCTGCACTCCATTACTTTCAAATCCTCACACAAAAGCTTGGTTTGCTCACAGCCTTGCATCTGTCGTGTTCTTCAGAAAGAAGTAAAAAGATGATGGTCCTAGAGCTCCTAAGGTAGAACCAGTTAGCATCTAGAGAACTTCTGTGAAGCAGGGTTGATCCAGGTGTGGAAGCCAGATAAACCTCTTTCCCTCAAAGATACCAGATGCCATTTGAAAAGGCAGGAAGGATAAGTACTGATATCTTGTGGTGTTGATGTCCTCTAGCCAAAGACCACCAGTAACAGAAAAGCTGTGAAACAAGCTGAGGCTGTTGCTTGTTAAACTGTGTGGCATCCCAGGGAGAGGATGTTCAGTTATAGGATTTGAACTTGTGTTGGTGATGTATGGGGAGGTTTTAAGGAAACAGAGCTTTGCTCTGATTGGATGCTGTCAAAAGGAGGGGTAATTCTCTGATTGGGTATCTTAACCAGACTAAAGGAGAGGCTCAAGGTGTAATTGGTAAAGAAACAGCAGTCACTTTTGTTACCAGGGATGGGGATATTTTGGTGTTTTGTGGGTTGGACCATGTTCATGGTTTAATGTGTTTATACATGTGGAGTTGTCCTATTTCTGTCTTTACCCATCATGGTCACAGAGTGGCCTTGTCTGATATTGATGTTCCATAAAATTGTTATGTTCAACAGAAGAACACCCACCTGTGTGTGCCAGGCCAGTTCCTGGATGTCAGGGGTTGCTTTTCTGTTTCTCAAGAGTATTATTGTTTGAATCATTTTACTTGAATATTAAGATAGGCTTTAAGATTGGGGACATCAAGGTGACAAACATACTTGTATGCTTAATATATAATATATTTTATATATATATAAAAGTTGCCTAGGTAGTTGTTGTCATGCATGTTAAGTACTAAGCTCCCTCCTTGAAAGGAGGGGACATTCACATCCTCTCATTAATTAAAGGAAATTCCCCATCTCTCTCGTGAATCTCATTCATACCATCAAACTTGCAAATTAACAAATTAGAAAGCTGTGCCCCTGACTTAAACGTTTTCTAGTGTAATTTGAGCCACAAGGTCATATGTCTTTAATGATGAATAGAACTGATTACCTCCATACATAATAATGGGATCCTGTGGCTATGGAGTTGCAGCATTCTTTACTAAAAATCAGAAACTCCATGGATAGTCTGAAGCAGGCAACTTCCTCGAGGCAGCCGGTGGGGCTGGGGAATGGTGCTGGCAACACATGTCTGTGTGCTAAATTCAGCTGAGCTCCATTTGAAAGACAGCTGCCTGGGCTGCAAAGGAAAACTTAGATCTATAATGAATCACTGCACAGCAGAGTGGGTTAATACAATGTTATCACCAAGAAATCATTTATAATGATGGTAGATTATACAACGAAGCAATATGCTGACTTTAATTCTAGTGCCATATGGCTTTAGGTTTAAGTTTATGTCTTTAGGGGGTGGGATGAGATGGTTTAAGGCTTTTTACATAGAGAAGATCATAAAAGCGTGATGTTATTTTATTAGTAGAGTGGAAATCTCAATAAAATATAGACCCAAGACAGAAAATAAAGATGGAGGGGAACATAGCAAATGCAGGATGACTTTTGTTATTTTGTAGTCACTGACAACTCTGGGATATTTATGGTTTCTTTTCATGATTCCTGAAACAGTAGGTGACTTCAGAATGCCCAGCTTCTACTGTGGGACTGTAGCATTAAGTGCAAACCTGTCTCTGAGTACTTGGATTAGGGGTGGCATGGAATGCGTATATCCAAGTCAAGAATCTTGCTTGAGTAATGCTGAATTGAGTGATGATAATTCTAGTAATAGCTAATATTTTTGAAGTATCTGGTATCAGATACTGGGCTTAAGGTTTTCATACATATCTGAATTAATTCTCAACACAAATTTTTAAGGTTGAAAATTGGAATATTTCCTGTCATATCAATAAACAAGGATGTTACAGTCATCAGCAATTCCAGCCCTCCAGGGCACTCAGGAAGAAGAATTCCTGTGATTGACAGCCATTAGGCTGCAGCCACTCCCTCTGGGGAGCCCTGAGGAACTCAGGATATGAAAAACAAGAGATACTGGCCCCAGATACCTGAGATGCGTATAAAAGAAATGATTTCAGTGAGCCCAGACTCTTGCATCTTCTTACATAGAAAAGCACTAAATTCCTTAACTTGGGATATCTGATTTTTGTTGTAAGCTTCTATATAACCTAGTTCCTCCCACTGCCTCCTTGGAGCAGTTCTCTCAAGGCTACTTGAGATGCTGCCTCCTGGGGCTTAAGTCCTAAAAACTTCATTGAATAAAACACAGCTCAACTTTTAGGTTGTGACTATTTTTTAAGTCAACAAGGTACTAATGCTCTCATTTTACAGGATGGGCACACTGAGGCTTTGAGGAGTTAAATCATTTGTTCAAAGTCACATAGCTAATAAATACAAGCCTTAAACTGGTATAAATAGAAGAGAAAATGAAAATATTCAGTGATTGGGATACCAAGAAGTGTTTCAGAGGTAGAAACATCTGTTTGGATTTCTTGGTCCAATTAAGGCATTCATTGAGGATCCACCCTGCAGGGTGTCAACACAGGTACTGGATCCCCACTGTCCTATAAACAAGCCACCTACATGAGTGAGAGTGTCCAGGGGAGGCCTGGACACAGAGGCCTTGGGGCCCATGCCAGTAGAGACAGTTACCAAGAAAATGACAGGCTTCCGTGAAGACACCTGTAGGCCACACTCCACTTTGACACATATCTTATGATTTAAAATGCTACCCACAAGTGCCTGCAAAGGTTACGGGCTCCCTGTTTCTCAGAAAAGACCTTTGGCATTGAGGGGTGTCACTCAACTTGCTTAAAGTACACAGGACAAAAAGCTGTGTCTTCTAAGTGCAAAACTCATTTTGGATCACAGCAGGTGCAGGTCAGTCGTACTGAGATAAAAGACTTCACCAGATGCCCTTCTCTGTACCTCTTTCCCCTGTTCTAGCCAAATGCTCACCCTTGCGTCAGCTGTGAGCCTTGGGTCTGCCAGGTGTTGGGACTGATGCCTCCATCTCCCCAGATACTACAGGTGGCAGGGCTACAAGATCAGTTGTGCGTCATCCGGTGCCTGACTGATGACTCTGTCTAAACTCCTGGCTCTGCTTCTACTGCTTGTTCACCCTCCTGAGCTCTGGTCTGTGGTAGCCTCTGACCTGGGATACCTGTGCATCCTTCAAATCATGTCTGCCTCCTGTTCTCCGTACCAGCCACTCCACTCATCTAGGACCTGCCTCAGGTCCCGAGCCCTGTGTTTCATTGTCTCTTAGCTCTCCAGGGCCAAATCAGTCTTTTATTCTTAATTTGGGGAGTAGATTATGATATAAAGAGCTTCCCTGGTGGCACAGCTGGTAAAGAAACTGCCTGCAATGCAGGAGACTTTGGTTCAATCCCTGGGTCAGGAAGATCCTCTGGAGAAGGGATACCCACTCCAGTATTCTTGCCTGGAGAATCCCATGGACAGAGGAGCCTAGTGTGTTGCAGTCCATAGGGTCACCAAGAGTTGATAAAATATTGACTTTATTTTTCCAAATATAAAGTTACATTAAAATATTGAATATGCTTGAAAAAAAAACATGTATTTCCCTACCACTAGACCCAAGACATATCTGATATTCCTCTCTGAGATTTTACACTGAGGTCAGTAAAATCCTCTAGCTTAGTGGTTCTGAAACCTGATTTCCCATTAGAACCTTTGAGAAGTTTGAAAAAATGTTTGTGCCCCACCACTCCGCACTCCAGAGACTCTGAGTTAGCTGCTCTAAAGGGTGGGCTTAGGAAACCACAGATAATTCTAACATGTAGTCAGGATTAGAAACTATTAAGCTGGGACTATCAGTATTTTTAATGTTAGGTGAAGCTTAAGATTTGCCTTAGAAGGTAGGACTGCCAGATTTAGCAAATAGAAGTCCAAGACACCAAGTTGAATTTGAATTTCAGATAAATGACAAATAATTTTTATTATAAGTATATCCCACACAATATTTAGGGCATATTTTCACTAAAAATTATTTGTTATTTAACTAGGCATCTTGCATTTTATTTGACAAACTTATTTTTAGGGAGAATCCCTATAGTTTAGAAAATGTATTTTCCTTTTTCTTGTTTGATTTATACTCAATGCTGTTCTTTGTGCTTATGTTCCACTGAGAAGGTGTATGAAACCAAGGGTTCCTGCTTACACTCTCCCAGAAATTTCTCCAGGAGAAAGCCTTACATATTCAAAGAAATCAGTGTTTGAGCTAGCAGTAAATTTCTCACTGTCTGGTTCCCTCTCACTTTTGCACACTCTGGTTGGTGGCTTATCAAGCCAACTTTGTAATCAGACCAATATGCTAGTTTCTTTTTTGAGACAAATTAGCCCATAAGTCAATTTTCCTAGCTTAGAACAAGAAAGTATTCCAAAGAGCTCTTTTTGGAAGAACTATGGGAGACCTAGGAACAAAGTGTTGTAGTTGAAGAGGGAGGAGTGTGTGATGGGATATGGAGAAAGCATGTGTTACATTG